AACTAGAACAACTAGAACAGAACTAGAACAGAACTAGAACAGAACTAGAACAGAACTAGAACAGACTAGAACGAACTAGAACAGAACTAGAACAGAACTAGAACAGAACTAGAACAGAACTAGAACAGAACTAGAACAGAACTAGAACAGAACTAGAACAGAACTAGAACAGAACTAGAACAGAACTAGAACAGAACTAGAACAGAACTAGAACAGAACTAGAACAGAACTAGAACAGAACTAGAACAGAACTAGAACAGAACTAGAACAGAACTAGAACAGAACTAGAACAGAACTAGAACAGAACTAGAACAGAACTAGAACAGAACTAGAACAGAACTAGAACAGAACTAGAACAGAACTAGAACAGAACTAGAACAGAACTAGAACAGAACTAGAACAGAACTAGAACAAACTAGGTGAACTAACTTCGCTTATGGTATTCAATTAAGGAAAGTGATTCATGTCTTCATTATGACCAATAGGTATAAATTAATAATTTTCTTGGCTAAATAATTTCCAATATCCCACGCATTTAATAATTGACTTGTAATCTTATCATTAAAGCAATGGATATTTTCAACACCATATTCTTAATATTTTATAAACTGCAATTTCTGTGAAATTATTGCAATTTTAAATTGTTCCAGCTGTGAACAGCAGATAAGATATTATTATGAAAAAAGAGTTCACATTTGTTGCTAAAAAGTAATAACAAAATAATTTTTATACTATATAGATAAATCTGGCTTGGCAATATCGGAGTTCTGATCTAAAAGTGGAAAAGACAAGTTTTAAATCTATCTCTTTCAACAGGTTCGTTCGTATAAATATCTATTGCGAACGAATCTATTTACTTATGTATGAATTCTATGTAATTATGGCCTTTAGTTTTATATCGGTTCAATATAATGTGATTGGCCTATGTCAATAATAAAACACGATAAGTAATAAGATAAATATGGCTAATATTTATTTAATGCAAACAATAATTGTTCTCAATTACTTAATTAAGTGGCTGATTTCAAGTGGCTGATTTCAGTAGCAGTATAAATAAGGACAAGTACACTATACACATGTTAGGGCGTCCTAAGCCAATTGGAACTTCGCTCCGGAACGACCCGAGTCATACTTGGCCAAAGATTTTCAACTCAGCGACAGCTATATCATCCGAAAGTTTTTTTTTCCTATGAAAGAACTACCAGCCACAGTTGAACTGTTGCAACAACAACTATATTAGGGATAATCGAAAAACTTTAGACTGCTTCTAATCCAAACTTTATACAAAGTATTCTTATCAATTGCAGATAGAGCACAAATAAATTTAAATTGACAAATTTTTGCTATTTTAATTATACCCTGCAGTTTTAAGACATAGAACTAACTATTTCAATCAACATCGATTGGACTAGTATCGATATTAAATTTTAAATATCATTAACAGATTTTGATAATAACAATAATACCAAAATATCTAAGCAAAATAATATTCTATTAAACTTTGTATGCATATGACTAAAATAAAATATATTTTACAATCTCGATATTTCTTATCATAAAAAAAAGTTAGACAAACTGTTTGCTAAACACCTTTTTAACACCTGACTACTCGCATTTCATAACAAAGCTACAAAACAAAAAAAAACATTGACTTGTGAATTAATAACATGAGATAATTTAAGTTACCATAATACCCATCCATCTAAATGTTTAAACATTAATGATGCTTATCAACTGTCAATTATTATAGTAGTTAAAAAATAAATTTTGCATTAATACACTTAATCACAATTTATATCGAAAATTTTACAATCACATTTCTTAACAAAAAGTTGCCTTTTAGAAATCTGGTCCATGTTCAAAGTTTAATGTATGACATTTTTAGAAAACGTTTGTTAGTTTTCTAAAAAAATAAACCAAACTGAACCAGAACTAAACTAAACTAGAACTAAACAAGAACTGAACTAGAACTGAACTAGAACTGAACTAGAACTGAACTAGAACTGAACTAGAACTGAACTAGAACTGAACTAGAACTGAACTAGAACTGAACTAGAACTGAACTAGAACTGAACTAGAACTGAACTAGAACTGAACTAGAACTGAACTAGAACTGAACTAGAACTAGAACTGAACTAGAACTGAACTAGAACTGAACTAGAACTGAACTAGAACTGAACTAGAACTGAACTAGAACTGAACTAGAACTGAACTAGAACTGAACTAGAACTGAACTAGAACTGAACTAGAACTGAAACTAGAACTAGAACTGAACTAGAACTGAACTAGAACTGAACTAGAACTGAACTAGAACTGAACTAGAACTGAACTAGAACTGAACTAGAACTGAACTAGAACTGAACTAGAAATGAACTAGAACTGAACTAGAACCGAACTAGAACTGAACTAGAACTGAACTAGAACTGAACTAGAACTGAACTAGAACTGAACTAACTAGACTGAACTAGAACTGAACTAGAACTGAATTAGAACTGAACTAGAACTGAACTAGAACTGAACTAGAACTGAACTAGAACTGAACTAGAACTGAACTAGAACTGAACTAGAACTGAACTAGAACTGAACTAGAACTGAACTAGAACTGAACTAGAACTGAACTAGAACTGACAGAATGAACTAGAACTGAACTAGAACTGAACTAGAACTGAACTAGAACTGAACTAGAACTGAACTAGAACTGAACTAGAACTGAACTAGAACTGAACTAGAACTGAACTAGAACTGAACTAGAACTGAACTAGAACTGAACTAGAACTGAACTAGAACTGAACTAGAACTGAACTAGAACTGAACTAGAACTGAACTAGAACTGAACTAGAACTGAACTAGAACTGAACTAGAACTGAACTAGAACTGAACTAGAACTGAACTAGAACTGAACTAGAACTGAACTAGAACTGAACTAGAACTGAACTGAGAACTGAACTGAACTAGAACTGAACTGAACTAGAACTGAACTAGAACTGAACTAGAACTGAACTAGAACTGAACTAGAACTGAACTAGAACTGAACTAGAACCGAACTAGAACTGAACTAGAACTGAACTAGAACTGAACTAGAACTGAACTAGAACTGAACTAGAACTGAACTAGAACTGAACTAGAACTGAACTAGAACTGAACTAGAACTGAACTAGAACTGAACTAGAACTGAACTAGAACTGAACTAGAACTGAACTAGAACTGAACTAGAACTGAACTAGAACTGAACTAGACTGAACTAGAAGTGAACTAGAACTGAACTAGAAGTGAACTAGAACTGAACTAGAACTGAACTAGAACTGAACTAGAACTGAACTAGAACTGAACTAGAACTGAACTAGAACTGAACTAGAACTGAACTAGAACTGAACTAGAACTGAACTAGAACTGAACTAGAACTGAACTAGAACTGAACTAGAACTGAACTAGAATGAACTAGAACTGAACTAGAACTGAACTAGAACTGAACAGAACTGAACTAGAACTGAACTAGAACTTGAACTAGAACTGAACTAGAACTGAACTAGAACTGAACTAGAACTGAACAGAACAGGAACTAGAACAGAATTGGAACAGAACAGAACAGAAACTAGACAGAACTAGAACAGAACTAGAACAAAACTAGAACAGAACTAGACAGAACTAGAACAGAAACTAGAACAGAACTAGAACAGAACTAGAACAGAACTAGAACAGAACTAGAACAGAACTAGAACAGAACTAGACACAGAACTAGAACAGAACTAGACAGAACTAGAAACAGAACTGAACAGAACTAGAACAGAAACTAGAACAGAACTAGAACAGAACTAGAACAGAACTAGAACAGAACTAGAACAGAACTAGAACAGAACAGAACTAGAACAGAAAAGAACAGAAGCGAACAGACTAGAACTCAATAAATAATATCGAAATTTTCAAAAAATATCAATAATAAATTGAAATATCTAGAATATTTATGACAAAGTTTATAAGTTTATTATTTAACAACAATTAAATAAAGTAAATATGACTCACAGGATGTAAGCTATTCATCACATGTAAGAGTATTATTACAACCCAGCAAAAACTTACATTAAAATGAAATGAGTTAAAAAGCTAATATGCGCTACTTACTCACTATTGCTTTTTAACTCAGAGTGATGATTTTGAAGACCTGTCTCGCTTACAGATTATTACTTAAATAAGTACTTATAAATTGGGAGTTAAACAAGTTTTTTGGTGTAAAGCAAAAACATAATACGAACCGATGTCTTGTGTTCGTAAGTCCGATTTCTTACACACAACTCCGCATCTTAGTTAATTTAATGGTTTTCACCTAGAAACACGCCATATGAATTGCAGACTATATTATTATAAAATAAAATAAAAATTACCCTTCATAATTATTATGATCTTTTTAAGTGATCTATTTATTAAAATTTCGTAGAATTTTTTAAAATAATGTTTTTTACAATTTAAAAAGAATTCTATTTTTATTAAATGTTATATCTTTTTTAATTGTTTAAAGCAAAGACTATATAAATTTGTATCAATTTAGCTAAAACGCAAACAAAGCCCTTGTCTTATCTAATAATTTTTTGGGTGATTTTTTCGCATATTTATTTAACTTTTTTTATTCCCCCGTTATACATATTTATTATATCGTTATAGAGATGTTGGCCATACAAGAAAAACAAACGAAATCAGTATTTTACACAAATTTTATCTCAAAAAAAAAACTATTAGCAATTGATAGGGGAAAAGCGGAGCAAGCCCTAACGCATATAACTCGCTTATAGTACAATCGCCTCGTTTGCTGTATAGAATCTATCGGAAATGCAAAAGAAATGATAAAAACCATTTGTTGTTAACAAATTAATTGTTAGTAATAATTTAAAAGCCGTGGCAATACGAACGTCTGTGCTCTTTATCGATATTGTCAAATTATTGTAGACAATTGTGGTGAAAAGATCGTTTAAAGAACGAAGATAAATACTCGTTAGAATAATAGACAAAAAATTTAAAAGTATTAAAGAATTTGCTAATACTTTTTAATATTTAAAAGAACATATTTTTTTAAAAACAAAATTAAGTAAAATATATAAAAAATGAAATTATTTTATATATTTTTACTAGCGGCACTGACAGTGACCCATTCCAAAGGTACGAAATTTGAATGGAAATTCAGTTTTGAAAACTGATTTTTTTTAAAAGATTAAACAAATGTCTGTGAATAAAAAAAATCTATAAAAGTTTTAATATGTGAATTCTAAATTAATAAACTTTTTAAATAAATTAAACAATATATTAAAAAATACAACAAAAACGTTCAAAATTTTAATAACATATGGAAAATATTAATAAAATAATTATAATATTATAAATCAGATTTTAATTAAAAAAATTAAATTAAAATCTCAGCATCAGGAAAAAGTACTTGAATTTTTTATTTACTTTTCATAAAATAAATATTCTAGAGAGAGTTTAATGGGAACTATTTCAGATCCTTTAATTACACAGACCAACCAAGATTGAGCAGAGCATAGTATGAATCTGGCCTCAGATCAGTTTATCGAAATATCATATTCTGAACACCTGATGCGATGGATTGAATTCTGTGTCCAGATTCAATTCCAGTGTTTGGTCTCTAGGTTTTGAATTTATTCAAATTTTTTTGATCTGTGTCATCTTGGAACTTGTGATAAACTGAACTAGAATGAACTAGAACAGAACTAGAACTGAACTAGAACTGAACTAGAACTGAACTAGAACTGAACTAGAACTGAACTAGAACTGAACTAGAACTGACTAGAACTTGAACTCGAACTGAACTAGAAACTGAACTAGAACTGAACTAGAACTGAACTAGAACTGAACTAGAACTGAACTAGAACTGAACTAGAAAAACTGACTAGAAAACTGACTGAACTGAACTGAACTAGAAACTGAACTAGAATAACTCGAACTGAATAGAACTGAACTAGAACTGAACTAGAAACTGAAACTAGAACTGAACCTAGAACTGAACTAGAACTGAACTAGAACTGAACTAGAACTGAACTAGAACTGAACTAGAACTGAACTACAACTGACAGAAACTGAACTAGAACTGAACTAGAACTGAACTAGAACTGAACTAGAACTGAACTAGAACTGAACTAGAACTGAACTAGAACTGAACTAGAACTGAACTAGAACTGAACTAGAACTGAACTAGAACTGACTAGAACCTGAACTAGACTGAACTACAACTGAACTAGGAACTGAACTAGAACTGAACTAGAACTGAACTAGAACTGAACTAGAACTGAACTAGAAAACTGAACTAGAACTGAACTAGAACGAACTAGAACTGAACTAGAACTGAACTAGAACTGAAACTAGAACTGAACTAGAACTGAACTAGAACTGAACTAGAACTGAACTAGAACTGAACTAGAACTGAACTAGAACTGAACTAGAACTGAACTAGAACTTGAACTAGAACTGAACTAGAACTGAACTAGAACTGAACTAGAACTGAACTAGAACTGAACTAGAACTGAACTAGAACAGAACTAGAACTGAACTAGAACTGAACTAGAACTGAACTAGAACTGAACTAGAACTTAACTAGAACTGAACTAGAACTGAACTAGAACTGAACTAGAACTTAACTAGAACTGAACTAGAACTGACTAGAACTGAACTAGAAACTGAACTAGAAACGAACTAGAAACTGAACTAGAACAGAACTAGAACTGAACTAGAACTGAACTAGAACCGAACTAGAACTGAACTAGAACTGAACTAGAAACTGAACTAGAACTGAACTAGAACTGAACTAGAACTGAACTAGAACTGAACTAGAACTGAACTAGAAACTGAACTAGAACTGAACTAGAAACTGAACTAGAACTAGAACTGAACTAGAATCTGAACTTAGAACTGAACTAGAACTGAATTAGAACTGAACTAGAACTAGAACTGTTCATTTTTCCAGTGTATTGCGAAATATAATAGACATTTTATTATTAAAAAAAATGTTAATGTAATAAAACAAAGATATCAATAAAATTAAGATAAAATCAAAGTCATGTTGCTTCTTGTTATAGATTTTTATAAATTTTTCATTTCAAATGAATCATTTTAATTATGTTTGTAATTAAAAACATATATTTTGTCTCAATAAAACTATTCAACGAAATTTGAAACTAAAAAATAATAATTTTAAAATTAGGAACTATAGAACTAAATAAGATTAATTTATTTTTAGCTGAAATTTTACAATGTTACGTTTGCGATGGCGACGATTGCTCCGATATTTCAAAAATGACCAAAGAATCTTGTGGACCTGAGGAAATAACAACACCAGAACCTGAGCCAGTATCAACAACGGAATCAACAAGTGGAACGGAAACTACCGAATCACATGATACAACAACTGAATCAGGTTCAGGAGAACCGGAAACAACAACGGAATCTGGCGAAACAGCATCGACTACAGAAAGTCCTGAATCAACAACAGGCTCAGGCGCAACAACGACTACTGAATCTGCAGCACCAACAACAACAATTGCTCCAGAAACGACAACAATTGGAAGTGAAACAACATCGGAAGCTAGTCCTGAAATAACAACTACTAGTGCTCCGGAAACAACCACTTCAGGATCTGTTACAACAACTAATACACCTGAATCAACATCAACTGGTGCTACAGAAACGACAACTAATACACCTGAATCAACAACAACTGGTACTCCAGAAACAACAACTTTAGAAACTATTACTACAACTAACACACCTGAATCAACAACAACTGGTGCTCCAGAAACAACAACTTCACAACCCGAAACAACAAGCATTAAACCCGAATCTACAACTATTAAAGATCCGATAACAACGACTTTGGGGGACAGTTGAGCCAGAATCGACTACTGTTGACGATCCGGTAACAGCACCATCTACAGTTCAACCCGAAACAACAACTGTTTCAGCACCAGAAACCCCAACCTCAGGTCCTGCACAACAACACCATTGCAACCGAAACTACAATTGGTAATTCTCCTTTAACCAACAACTGTAAAATCCGAATTGACTACCAACGAACCAGAAACAACAACCGTTTCCTCACCAGTAACCACAACTGCAGATTCTACAACAACAACCAATACAGCCGAAACAAAACTGTTAATACCAAATCAAAACGTTCAATTTCTCCATCAGCTATATTACTAAACAATTATCGTCGTATTTCCCGTAGTCGTCGCGATACCAGCGAATCGGCTATAGCTGTTACTCTGTGGAATATAAAGGTTAGTTTCAAGTTAAATCAAATCATCAAAAGTTCGGATTTATTATCTTTCTCTACTAAAGATTTAATTGATTTTACAAATAAATTAATTACTATTATTATTATTTTTCCTTCAACAGACAATGATAAACCAAACTGAAAAAGGGCTGTGTTGCCATACCAACTGAAAAATCTGCCTGTGAAGTGGTTGCTGATAAGGTCGGCGAAGAGAACATGATTAAGACTCATGCAAAGTTTTGCATGAATAATTTATGCAATTCCATTCCATGTCTGCAGTTTTTTCCATTTTAACACTATTCTGGCCATATCGTTAAATTTTTAATGTGAGTTTATATATTTGTATAATATTTTTTAAATAATTAGTTGTATATGAATGTGGAAAAATAAATAATTAGAATACAACAATACTAAATTATTCCTTTTATTTCACAACAAAAATCAATATTTTGAGTGAAACTTAAAAGTCCATTTTCTGGCTAAACTAGAGGCGCTACGACAAAAAAGAAAGAAATCTGTGGCATCACTTCAATTTCCCATCAAACTTGATTTTTTGAGTGAAAAACATAAAAGTCCATTTTCTGGCTAAACCAAAGCGCTAGGACAAAAAGAAAGAAACATCTGTGATCACTTCAAATTCCCACCAATATCGATTTTTTGAGTGAAAACATAAAAGTCCATTTCTGGCTAAACCAAAGGCGCTACGACAAAAGAAAGAAAATCTGTGATCACTTCAAATTTCCCACCAAATATCGATTTTTTGAGTGAAAACATAAAGGTCCATTTTCTGGCTAAACTAAAGGCGCTAGGGACAAAAAGAAAGAAAATCTGTAATCACTTCAATTTCCCACAAAAATCGATTTTTTTAGTAAAAACATAAAAGTCCATTTCTGGCTAAACTAAGAGGTGCTACGACAAAAAGAAAGAAAATCTGTGATCACTTCAATTTCCCATCAAACATCGATTTTTGTGAGTGAAAACCTAAAAGTCCATTTTCTGGCTAAACTAGAGGCGCTACGACAAAAAGAAAGAAAAACTGTGATCACTTCAATTTCCCATCAAACATCGATTTTTTGAGTGAAAACCTAAAAGTCCATTTTCTGGCTAAACTAAAGGCGCTAGGACAAAAAGAAAGCAAATCTGGTGATCATATTCAATTTCCCACCAAAAATTGATTTTTTGAGTGAAAACAATAAAGTCCATTTTTTGGCTAACTAAAGGCGCTAGGACAAAAAAAAGAAATCTGTGATCACTATCAATTTCCCACCAAAAATTCGATTTTTGAGTGAAAACATAAAAGTCCATTTTCTGGCTAACTAAAGGCGCTAGGCAAAAAGAAAGAAAATCTGTGATCACTTAATTTCCCACAAAATCCTATTTTTGAGTGAAAACATAAAAGTCCATTTTTGGCTAAACTAAAGCGCTAGGGCAAAAAGAAAGAAAATCTGTGATCACTTCAATTTCCCACCAAAAATTCGATTTTTGAGTGAAAACCTAAAAGTCCATTTTTCTGGCTAAAACTAAAGGCGCTACGGACAAAAAGAAAGAAAATCTGTGATCTCTTCAATTCCCACCAAATATCGATTTTTTGAGTGAAAACATAAAAGTCCATTTTCTGGCTAAACTAAAGGCGCTAGGACAAAAGAAGAAAATCTGTGATCACTTCAATTCCCATCCAAAATCGATTTTTTGAGTGAAAACATAAAAGTCCATTTTCTGGCTAAACAAGCGCTAGGGCAAAAAGAAAGAAAATCTGTGATCACTTCAATTTCCCACCAAAATCGATTTTTTGAGTGAAAACATAAAAGTCCATTTTCTGGCTAAACTAAAGGCGCTAGGGACAAAAAGAAAGAAAATCTGTGATCACTTCAATTTCCCACAAAATCGATTTTTTGAGTGAAAACATAAAAGTCCATTTTCTGGCTAAACAAAGCGCTAGGCAAAAAGAAAGAAAATCTGGATCACTTAATTCCCACCAAAAATCGATTTTTTTTTAAAAACATAAAAGTCCATTTTCTGGCTAAACTAGAGGCGCTAGGACAAAAAGAAAGAAAATCTGTGATCACTTCAATTTCCCACCAAAATCGATTTTTTGAGTGAAAACATAAAAGTCCATTTTCTGGCTAAACTAGAGGCGCTAGGACAAAAAGAAAGAAAATCTGTGATCACTTCAATTTCCCCAAAAATCGATTTTTTGAGTGAAAACATAAAATCCATTTTCTGGCTAAACTAAAGGCGCTAGGACAAAAAG